CCTAATAATCTTTAAGTTAGTAATAAAGTCTCTATTAATATAATTTACTAAAAATATAATAACCTTAATAAGCTTTAGAACTTATAAGTAAGTCTTTAGCTTATTATAGTAGCTAGATTAAGAGAAACCTAAAAGGTCTAGTTACTTAAAGGTATTAAGGCCTATCTAGTGTTTTACTTAAGTAAGCTTAAAAAAGCCTTTAATAACCTTCTCTTTAGATAACACTAAGAACTACTTCTTTTTATAATATTTAACTTTAGTAATAAGCCTAAGTATAAAGTATTATAAGTACTAAAGTCTAAGATAAACTATAAAAGACTTTACTACTAGGTTAATTAGTTAGGTTATAATAAAGACCTAACTTAGTATAATACTAAAGGCTTTTATTATTTACTAATAGTACTAAGAAAATTCTATAAAGAACACTTAATAGCTACTAGACCTTTAGTTAACTTACTTTAATAGTTATAAACTATAATAAAAAACACTAAAGTATTTTTTTACTTTAATAATAATAAAGCTACCTAATAAACTATTAACTTATTATTACTTTATAAGCTAACTAATACTTTTTAGGCCTTAACCTTACTTTATTAGTTTTTATTTTAAAAAAATAGTTTCTAAAAAAAAGATTTATATAAAAGAGTAAAAAAATTAACTTATAAAAAAAAAAACTTTTTAAGACTAGCTAATAGATTCTAATACTATAGATAATATTATTAATAAAAAGAAAAGTAATATTATAAGGTAACTAAGACTATAGGCTATAATAGCTATACTAGTTATAGCTAATAAGCTATAGAGACTACTAGGGCTAAGTATAGACTACTAGAGGTTATATAACTAGGAAAAGGTTTATAAAGAATTTAAAGGTAAGGCTATTAGGAAAGGCCTTACTATAGTTTTCTTTTTCTCTTTATCTTAGAATCTTTGTTCTAGGTAATATAGTTATAAGTTATTTAACCTTAGTTATTACTATTATAACACTAGACCTATAGAATATAGTCTATTATAGCCTATTATAGTAGCCTATTATAGCCTATTAATAGTAGCCTATTATATCTTATTAATAGTAGCCTATTATAGCCTATTAATAGTAGCCTATTATAGCCTATTATAGTAGCCTATTATAGCCTATTATAGTAGCCTAAGGGGGTCTTTTTTATAGCTATCAAGAATACCTCTTAAAGAGCTAGGTAAAGGTGTTAGTGTAATTACTTTTACTGTCTTTATAGGGATATACTGTTTTTTTAGACTAATTAAAAAGTGTATACCCTTATATCTATATATTAATTCCTTATACCTATCTATTAATTCATATTTATATTAATATATATATATAGTAAGTTATATTTTATAGTAAGTTATATATATCTACTTTATTTTTACTATACTTTATCTTTAAACTAACTTTACTTTATATATAATAATAGAATTCTTTTCTTATAAAACCTAGCTTATCTTTATACTTATAGCTATCTAAAAAGACCTAAAACTAACTATATAAAAGGTAGCCTTTATTTACTAGGTGCCTTAATCTATACTCTATAACTAATACACTAGCTAAAAAGTATAATATAAAATATATATAAGTTTAATAAAGATAACTATATCTAAAAAGAAAGTAGTTTTTAAAAAGATTATTAACTTAGTTAATTAAAGGTTTTCTTTATAATAAGAAGATATATAAGAAATAGCTAAGTAACTCTTTAATATATATAATAAAATATACATTAAACCCTAATAAGTAAAAAACTTTATATAGTAATGACCTTAATTAAAAATATAATTTTAATATTAACTTAACTATTAGAGAGCCTTAGCTAAGGACTCTATAGTTATATAAGGCTAGTTTTTACTTATATAAAATATAATTATAAAGTATAAGATATAGAATTATAATATCTATAATTTTAATAAGACTAGGTTTCTAATAAAAATACTATTATATATAAAGGTTATTTTAACTTTTAACTAATATAAAAGGCCTTATATAGAGTAGCCTAGTAATTATAAATAGGTTTCTATTATTTAAAGTATATATATAGATAACTAGGTAATATTTTTATATATTATTATAAAAGATAAATATTATTTTCTCTTCTAGTACTAAAATAGCTAATTCTTAGCTAATTAGTATATTTACTAAAGAAAAAATAAATAAATAATAAATAAAACTAGCTTAGATTAGTTAAATTATTCTAACTAGTCTATAAAGTATTATATAAAGAGTACTTATTATTTTTTAATTCTAGATAGCTATAATAGCTATAGATTAACTAAATTTAATAACTACTATAGAAAAAAAAAATTACTTTATATATACTTTTTATTTACTATATAAGCTTTAGTCTTTTAATATTAGCTATTTTAGCCCTTTAAAATACTTATATAGTAAAAAAATAATATAAATATAAATTATAAATATTACTTAAGATAACTTTTTTTTTATTTTTAGAGTAGTATTTTTTACTTAAATAAGTAAAGTAAATATATAAGTAGGTTTCTAATAAGCTAATCTTATACTTTTTAATTCTAAAGTTATTATTTTTTACTTAGATTTTAAGCTAAAGACACTAATACTAATAAACTTATATCTAAAAAGCTTAGGCTTATAAGACCTAAAGATACTAATAATAGTACTTAAGGGTATATAAAGCTTTACTTTATAAAAAAAAAATTTAAAGACTATTAAAGAACTTTACTAATACTAATTTATAAAGTAATTAATTTATAGTTAAAAAGTATTAGTAAGTTAGTATATTAACTTACTATTATTAAGGTAAAGAATTATTAACTTTATATAAAGATAAAGGTACTTAGTAAGCACTAGAGGGCTAAAAAGACCTAACTATATCTTAGAAGATTACTTAATATAGTTAAAGTAGAGGCCCTATAAAAAGAAAAAGAAGTTATTAAAGCTAGAGATAAAGAAATATCCTAGAAAAGAGGTTATATAGAAAGTAGTAAATTACTTATATAATAATATAGTAATTATAGAAAGACTATATATAACATATAAACTTATAAGGTAGTTTAAGATAATAATAAAGAATAAAGTAATATATATTTTTAATTAATTTTATATAATTAAGTTAAATTAACTTATTAAAATAATAGAAGGGTAAGTAAATATATATAACTTACTATAATATATAACTTGTTATATATATACGTTATATTTTTTTAACACTTTACTATAGATCTACTTAAAGGCTAGGCGTTAGCCTTGTCTATAGTAGTTTAAGTTAGACTATTAATTATTAAAGTGTATAGATATAGCGTTAATTATAATAATATCCCTAGTTAATTAGGCGTATATTAGTGGTGTCACTATTAGTAAATTCGCTGTAGTTATTGCCTTAAATTTATGGCCTTTTAACCAATGCATTTGTTATCTAAATTGCTACTTGTAGGTAGGGAAATCTATCTAGCTAATGACAGCAACATTTGACCTACTTTCGCTCATGGCCAATTGCCACACTTTGACACCTTACTTCGTACCTGGGGATTGAGGCGTTTCCCACTGTCCCTCCTCCTTTCTGTAATTGTCATATTAACCGCATGTGCAAGAAGTAACTCGAGGACCGTCGCAGGTGAAAGAGGCTTGACCGCCTCCCTTTATATATATAGATAATTAGTAGGCTTAGTTTATACGTGATCAAGTCTCTTTCACTTACACACTGGGTAATACAAGATAGTGCGCAAGTGTCTTTGTCGCTGAGAGGCACAGCAACAACAAATACACTATTGAAAGCAAGAAGCAAAGAAGATATTATAATAGCCTTCATATTCACGAGTGTGTGGTTTTTTGTTCTCTTTCTAAAATCAGACTTAGATGTTGTGTTAAGAAGGTAAAGTATAAAAAAATAGGAATGTGATATCATGAATCAGCCCCTTTATACCTGAGGTAATAACCTCTTCTGTATTTCCTGTTGAGATCCGGGTGGCTCCACCTGCACCCTCGGATTGGTCAGCCTCGTAGCCCTTTATCTTTGTGTCGTGTCAGTAGTTTGAGAAGGTTTGACCCGCAATCTGTCTGCCTGTTAACTGCTACTGTAACATCATATATGTGGGCCTGTAAGTGGGGCTAGGGTATAATTAGTATGTATTTGGAAATTAAAGCGCTGCTTAGCCCACACTTGTGGAGTACCTGTCCTTATTTCGGTAGCAGTTAACAGGCAGACACTTTGCAGGTCAAACCTTAGCATCTCAGACTATCTCAAAGTACTGACCCACCTCCTCTTAAGTCACTTTTGTCCCCACACCACCAACTCCAAATTCTCCACACCACCAACTTCAAATTTTTAACACTAAGTCAACAAGAAAAAAAAAAGGCTTTTTTAATAGTATATACTACACCCTTTATACTATACCTAATACCCTCTATATATAGAAGAATGTCTCTAGGGGTAAGTTTCTCTAAAAAGCTGATTTGTGCTACTAAATTCTAGATGCACCTTAAGCTAATAGAGATATCTCTGTTTTCTTCTTTTTTCTGTAGGAAAAGGGTAGGCTGGTCTGTGCGTAGGTCTGTGCAGAATTAAGCAAGAGACTTTAAGAGGTACTTTGATGACTCAAGTGCTGCCCCGCAATGTGTCTGCCTGTTAGCCGCTACCCTTATTTCTCTAACTTACTAAAGTTAATATTTTAATCTTATTTCAAATTTGAACTATAACTTAATTAGCTGTAATTAGTTACATATAACTAGTTTATATTTAAATCTGTTATACATAAACATTAGAGTAGGTTTAATTAATTAATTAAGAGAAACCTTATCCCTTTAGTTACAAGTGGACCTCATTGACCCTTTAGTAGACCCACCCCCACTTTTACCCCTCACTTTTGGAGATACATGACAATACCTTGTTCTAGAATGCTATTTTATTAGCAACCACCACTAATTTCAACATTATCACGAACATCCTGATTAAAATCTACGATGTCTGACTCTGATACCTCTATTTATAGCACTATTTACGTGGAGGTGCTGCTGGAGGACCTTGCTGTTGCCTACCTAGATATGCTGCCTAGAGCAGTGTAATAACGCAACAGTCTAGCCTAACAAGGCTCTAGCAGAGCTACTTAGACTGTAAAGTACCGTTATATAAAGGTAGAGATTGTTAGTACCTCTGGCATAGGCAAAACGCTATATAGATTAAAGTACTCTAAAACTATTGGCTTTTAGACTTAAATACCGTGGTCTAATTTGCCCTATCCTACACAGGGGGTTAATAAGGTCCACTTGTAATAAAAGGGATAATTAGATTATCAGTCTAATAACTAAAGTCTATTAGAGTAACCTACTTATTATAGTAGTCTAATTACTATATATAAATATATAATTAATACTTATATCCATAAGAAAGTTAGTTATATTGTTTTTAGAGGAAACTTAAGTAACAATGTTAATTAAGGTCGATATAGTTATATATAGGTAACTATTTGCTTTATACCTTTAATCTATATAGAGGTTACATATAGCCTTCTTTGAAAATTAAATATAAGCTTCTAGTATAGCTTTTCATCTTGTTCTATCTTCTACACTTGCTGCTTTTATTTGCCTATGTAAATTCTCTAGTATGAAGCCACTTATGACTGTCTTGGTTATTACGCTGACTAGCACGGCATGTGCTGCACTTAATCAGGAAACGCCTGTGTTTCTTGAAACCCGCGAACCTGTGCGCCGTCCTAAGCTAAGGCCAGGCAGGCCTAATCGATGGTATCCATGCAAGGAAGTAGGAGGACACTGTAGTTCCTCCAGCGATTGCTGCGGTTCACTTCTATGCAGCCGTTCTCATTCTTGCTACGAAAGCCGATTCTAGGCTAGTAAGTTTACATCTACAGTCTTAGATATATACTAAAGCCTATTTCCTATAGCTATAATAGGAAAGGTGTTACTAAGATTACGTTTACTGCCTTTGCAGGAATATACTGTTTTTTTAGGCTAATAAGAGGTTTATATTGTTAAAGTGTAGCAATTGGCAATGGTCCAAAGTGGGGCTGATATTGAGGACAAGGTCGTGGACTCAGACGTCGCCAAAAGTTCATTTCACGCAAGGGTGGAGAATACGATGAGGTTTCCAGCCATTGCTACAGTCTGTCAGTGCTGCCCCTGGTAGTGTGCCGAGATTTAGCTGTACTTGCCTTCTGTTCAATCCGAAAGGGTCGCCAGTCTTCGCTCCAAGGCCTCCATTTGGCCCGCAACGGCAAGGCTGAGGTTGCAGAGCTCCTTGCTCCTGCTCCGCTCAAGAACCGTGTTAGTAACGACATTCTTTCCTCTAGGGAAGAGTTCTTTTGCGTCATTAAAGGGGACGTTGTGCACTAGACGCTAGTTAAGAATGCTGGGGATTGTGGTGGAGGTGGGTGATGGCAGCGATGAGCGTGATGTACACGTTTGAGGAAACCGTTAAACAGACAGGATGATTGACAAATTATCTAGTAACAAAGTTTATTTGCCTATTGGCATTGATGCTTCTTGGTGTGCTGCTGCAGTAGTACGAGTAGAGTCAAGTTAAGTCAAGCCTTGCTTGTCTGCTCCGGTGCATTTGTGGCTGTGAAAGGCTAGGGTAGGTAGAACAGTAGAGACTTGTATAAGTGTATCTTCTAATATCCCTTGTAGTAGATATTGAAGATGGACACAAGTACGTTCATTATGAACAGGTTGCAGGGCCTGCTATAAGGTGTATTTTTTGACGTGGAGGAAGATGATCCCTGGACCTCGACCTGGCTGTCCACGTCTTGCGTGTACGGCTGGTAGGATGGCTTGGAGGAACGCGTTGGTGGCAATATAACCTTGGTGTACCTGATTAGATGGAACTGGGTAGATTAGGTAAGTCTGTGTTCTTCTATGAATATTACCACTGTCATGATTATGGCTTTCCACTATCCCCATTATTCTCTGTCGCTTATCGCTTGCTACGGGCTGAACCATTGGAAGTCGACAGTTCTTACTATTGATTAGCACAGCAGGGCTTTGCGTGTCATAATGGTGTACACATCGATTTGACTTGGAAACGAAGTCTCTCCATGAGCCGGCTGTCTCTAAGGATAACAAGATGATGAGCTATTACCCTTTAGTTTGTGTGAAACATAAGATTATTCTCTACGTTGTATAAACTAATTAGTTAGACTAACAGCGCTAGTAATCACATGTGCTATAGTTCTGACAGGAAGATTAGGTGGAACCCGCCGCAGTCAATTATCCAAGTTGAAACGGCAAAGCCGTTGGTGAGCTAATATCTTGAATTGGGATACGAAAGGGGCGTTGGGTTGGTCCTGTGGAATTCTGGCATTCTGATAGATATCTTACTAATATGGCCTCCTGAGTTTACAAGGTTACTTATGCCGCGTACTCTTTTGGGCTTAAAGGCATCCTACTATAACAAGAGAATGCTGGACGGCCAACCGGATCTAGATCGTAAGACAGGGTGAGGCCCTGGATGGAACTTGGTATGGACAGCGTAAGAGATGGTTGGGTCATTGCCTACAAGTACAGACCTAGAAGTTACTTACTAAAAGTCCACCCGGATTAAGGAATATGGCATGCCAGCGCCAGATGGCTTGAACGCGCGCTATATATTACGCATCTTCTTTACGTATAATATAGGGTTGTCACGGCGCCTTCAGTGGCGGTTGTGTAGCAGCTCAAGGTCTAAATAATGAAAGTATATACTCCAGATAACTGCACTCGCCACCGTAGAAGACCGGTGGGTGTTAGGCCACGGAGATGTGGCTGGCTTGTTTGGGGGCAGGGAGGGGGGTAGTTTTGGCAAAAGCTGTCTGCCCACGGAATCACATAAGCACACGCGCACTGAGATTTGTTTGGCCGCTACTAGATGATGTTGCTTCATGATGTTGCTGCCTTTCGAAGAAGAAGAATATACACCACGCAGAGCCTGTAACTACATGCAATCTCCGCCTTAATACCCTGAGCCTTGGCGCGCATGGTTTGCAGAGTGGCATCAGGATTGTTTTCTGGCTCTATCAAAGCCATCTGTGTTTGCGAAGAGGCCTCTGCGGCTTTGGCCGCTAACACCAAGGCATCTGAGCCAGGTGGCACCTGTTGTGACATATTAAAGTCTCCTACTCTTGCTGTAAGGCTTTGAGCGAAGCGATACATGGCCTTGAGGTTTAATACTTGTGCCTCCTTTTCTGATATCATTGTGAGAGCTGCTGTTTTCTCCATTGCTGCGCGTAAGTGCGCCTGGTGCTGCCTGTGGAGCGCCTTTAATCCTGAAAGAGAGGCGCCAACACCAAAATGTACTGTTTCGTTGGCCAGGAAGTCACGGATTCTTGAGGAGCAAAGGTTGTCGCTGTCTGCATAACTAGAAGCAGCAGCGTTGAGCAAAAAGCTCGACTTGAACTTGAAGAATGCAATGGCTGCTGTGGTGTCCTCTCATGCAGCGTTACAGTTCTTCCAGATGTTTTCGGCAGGCGTAGAAAAGGGACTTGTGAGGTACATGCTGCGGTATCGCTGTCGCAGAACATCTCCATCAAACCTGTCTGGGAGAGTGTTCCCCTCTGCCAGATTCGAGGCAGCGGTAATCAGGTACACCCCGCAGTCCCAAGTGTTTAGTTATATCGGTCTCTGCAATTGTTATTGGGTTATTATGATTCGTCTAACATAGGGCCAGCAGGACATAGTGTGGTTGCCTTGTTTCCTTACAACGTACCTTTAAGGACATTGCACTAGGCGGAAGAGCGAGCCCGTAGACTCTTGAAACAAACGGCGCAACTTGTTGGGTGGTTATGTTGTCGCAGCTGAGATCATGACCGAGAGGATCGTAGACGTGGAGGATGGAGGAAGCATAGTGGTAGAGAACCCAATGATTGCCTCTCTGGTTAAAAGGCATGAGCATTGCCGCTTTCCTGGACGCTTGTTCCATCCACTGTGGCGTTTTTGTCCATGCTCGCCATGCGCTTGTGGGCGCGACTGTTTCCACCGAGGCAACCGAGTCGCTGCACAACCGTCGGAGCAGAGTGTTGATAATGTCGTCGTTGAACCATTTCCCTGAATCGAAACGGTCAAGATGTGAGATGGGCCACTCAAGATTAGGGCGGCGGCTGTTGGCCATCGGACTTGTTGATTGCGTCTTACCATTAATAGACGGCTGTGAGGAAACATACGAACGGCCGGGTTTCCCTGACTTACAGACAGGTACAGAAACAGCAGGACTATCTTGGCGGCGACGGACCATAGAAGCTACTAAGGACGGTGCAATGCGTTTGTTTGTCGCACTGAAGATAAACTTGAACGAATTGTCATTCTCGTATCGAGTGCTGTGTATCGGGGCAGCAGCAGCGATTGGGGTGTCACCCATTGAAAGTCTGCGCCTCTTTGTAGGTGCGTTGCTGCTGGACAATAGTGGGTCTGACAGTCTTTTTCGAATCGTCACTGTTTTTGGGAGGTTGGATTTCAGGACGGAGATGTCATCATCGGCTTTGTAGGACTGCAAAGAAATTGGGGATGGCAACAACGAATTGTTAGCACCTGTCTGTGTATCATGTACAAGTGAGTCTTCTTCGTCTTGGTCGTTGTGAAAAACAGTGTGTGTGACTGGTGGCAGGGTGCGTTCGAATTTGTTATCGTCGCCAAATTCGTCGTCGTTGTTGGAGTCCTCGGAAACACGAAAGTCGCAGAACTGGCCTGATATATCCTCGAGAGCGACAGAGTGGTGGTTTCCTTTGTCCCCGCGGCCTTGCTCCAAAGTAGATGTCTCTGACACTTCCTGTTCAGAATACTCCTGTATCGGGCTGAGTCTTGTTTGCTGACTTGTTTGGGTTTTCGTACAGAGGTCAACGTGGACAGTCTGCTTATGTCAGGCAAAATTAGCATCAGCGGTTGGCCAAGACGTTGGGTTAGGGATGGAGATGGCTGACATGTGGAGGCGCAGCAGGCTCACTGGCTTCCCTTGCTGGCTCTCCTCCTTCTGTCTCTATCTCGTCAGAGAAATGGATAGAAGACACGGGCGAAGAAGGCGGGAACGGTTGAGTACTGGATGTGGACTTTTTGGGGTGGGGGCTGCCTTTTGGTCGTCTTATAGGCCAAGCGGTGGGGTCGTCTGGGATTGCAACCCATCTTGTCAGCGCACTTGGAGAATTCGGGTATGGAGAAAGAAGACTTACAGAACTGAAGAGTGTCTCAAAAGCGTTTCCTTGTAAGTTCGAGGGGCCTTCCCCGACCAGCGGTGACCTTGGACTTGGTGTCGCTAGCCAAGTTATTAGACGAATCAGTAATATCAGTCTGCAAGTGATAGACTCTGGTGGCAATATCGGCTAGGGTAACTTCAGGCTTGTTCAAATAAAGAGTATTAAGGGCTGTAAGGCACTGCAAATTAAGCGCAACTTTAATGCCAAGGAAGAAGCAAACAGTAACAAGCTCTAAGTTGAATTAGCGTGCAACAGCTGTTATTTAGCTACGCAGGTTCTTTGCCTTGACGATGTGATGTTGGAAGAGCTCTGTAAGAACAGTCGTCAAGACTTTGGGATGGACTTTGTCGCAGGCCCAAAGCTGGAATGGCTGGCGTGGCGGAGGATAGACGGAGTCGAAGGCTTCTTGGAGGTGGTTCCACTGCTTAAGGAGCGCGGCCCAAACGTCGTTAAGGTCAAACTTGAAAGCGTTAACTATATCGAGGGCATCTTCTAAGGAAGCTAACGACATGGATCTGATGCGATGGCGGTAGACAGTGTGGTGTGGGTGTGTATAAGTGAGGTTGTTTGTGTTTGTGAAAGATGGACGGGTTTGTGATTATATTCGTGATGCGCACGGGTGCGTTCGGTTACGCGAGGAAGGCACAACAGTATGTGACTGCCTTAATTGTGCCGCTACCTGAGATGAAGGAAGGACTAAAGGTAAATAAATGCTGGTTTCACAAGGGGATATCCTGTTTTTGCAAAAAGAGGTACAAAAACAGGATGGTGATAGTTAGTTGATTAGTTGAAGTAAAACTGGCAAACGGCCCAAGTTGAAGTGCATAATATGGGTGGGTTGGATCCTGACAAATTGTATCAGGCGTGTACTGTACTCCTCAACGGCAGCACTTTGGATGTGGTTGTAGCGGTCAAAGAGGTGATCAATTTCAGAGGAATTATGAATTGAGCTACGTAGACAGACAGACTGGCCGGGTTGATCACTGGTCGGGTTAGTCGTGGTCATCGCATCACAGTCGAGTCCGTCAGTGCCGGAACCGAGGGTCACGTCGTCAGACTCGTTACAAGTAGCGGTGCATGGGCAGGCAGACTCCTTGTGGGAGCAGTAGGGGGAAGTTGTGCTGTGGATTACACGCGTGGACAGACAATAGGAATAAGCCGAGGAGGTGATGGACATGGCATCGCTGTTGTCAAAAAAGGAACTCGAGGATGGCTGCCAATCCTACCGCAGTGTATTGTGTACGGGCCGTGAGAAGGACGAAATAGTTATTTGATTAAATAGGTTCCCAGGGAGTATCTGGGAGAATTGAGGATTAGAACAGGCTTGGACACAATCATGACCTGAGTTCCCTAGTATGCATAACCCATCTTGACGTCGAAACAATAGTGCATAAAGCCATGCTGGATCTAAATTGCCGGTCAGAAATAGCCGAAAGAATCACGCGCCTGTGGCATGAGAGGATGCTGTGGCGGCACTGTGGCGGCACTGTGGCGGTGCTGTTATTTTACATCACAAAAAGTGATGTAAAGTCCCCCCCGGGTGCCTAGTTGGTAGGGGGGTATTGCAGCTTCGGGGGGGGGGGTGTCCGGCCAGTGGGGCAGAAGTTCGGGGGGGGGTAAAGCCCTAAGCACCGTGTAGATTAAAAAAAACTAACTAAAGCATACTGAGCATATGCTGAGCATATGCTCAAGCTCTCGCACTTCTCACACTCTAAGCTAAGCCTAAATAAGCCTGATAACCCTAACCCTAGCTACTTTACCCCCCACAACGGATACCCCCCCCCCCGAAGCTGGAATTACCCCCTACGAACTATTCTCCCAGTCCCCCCCACCCCCCCCCCCCCCCCCCCCTTCCTGACTAACCAGAAAGCTGGGGTGGAGAACTGCAGGAGGGAAAGCATTTCCATCGACGTCTCGACCGTCTTCCAGCACCCGGTGCCTCGCGACTTGGCGATCCGCGCCAAATGGTTCGAAACCGATCAAGGGCTGCACTCGCGCGACGTCCGGTCATTTTCCATCATAGACGATTCGCATCTAGAAAACATCATCCAACAGGCTGCCAACGCTTGCCTCGTCAACCAGCATGACACAAAAGACATCTACCCCTGTCCATCATGACTCCTGGATCTTACGCCTTGCACAACAGCTTCGACCTCCCTCGTATGGAGCATCCACTCCACTCTTGGTGTCCTCCGCTGATACTTCAAACCGTTGAGGCGTACCACAAGGGCCTCAATGACTTGAGGTCGACGCCTTTCAACCACTTCGTCGACTACTTGGAAGATGCTGACACCGAGGCGTCGGGGAGTGCTTGGAAAGCTGGTCTCGATGAGTTCTCCGGCTCTTCGACCCCGGTTTTGCCCCACGCCACCTACAGTCCCAGAGCAACCGACATGGTCGACCGCTAGATGGTTTTCCGCCAAGGACGCCTAAGAAGCAACATCGTCGACTCGACTCTCGTCCAGACAGCCCTGGCAATCGTCATCAAGGCTAGGCACGCCAACTCCCGCCAGACGGCTTTCGGCATCACCCTACAAGCTCGCAAGCGACGGCATAGTGACGCATACCCAATATAATTCAGGCATGTTGGACCACAGATTAGTGCAGCGTATCCTGTACCAGTTTAACCAAGTTCTTGGCCAGCTAATCTAACTTTAGCCTACAGCGACCAGCTGCTGCAAACACAACACCTTCTCGTTGCACGCGAAGATACAACCAGACACCCCAGCCGCCGACACATTCGACGCAAGCTTCACTTACGCGGAGCTGGACCACATTTTCAGTCTTCTTGCCCACCGGCTCCGGCTAATGGGCGTCAAGACAGGCCACACAGTTCCGTTCTACTTCCGCAAGTCAGCTTAGATGCCCGTAGCCACCGTGCCATCAGCACAAGCTCCGCTGCCTACGGCAAGGCTATAGGCCTCAGTCCAGGATCCTACGTGCTTCAGTTCGCAGCATACACCTTTAGCATCAGCATACAGGACGTCTTCACGACCCTAGCCCACAGCAGTTACGTCTACCTGATCTCGGACTCGGACAGGGTGAACGACCTCGCCGAGGCCATCGACAGAGTGCAAGCCAACTTTGCCGGCATCACGCCCACGGTTGCATCCATGCTCTCCCCGGTAGACGTGCCCACGCTCAGATCCATTGTCCTAACCGGCGAGCCCATTCCAAAGTCCATCTTCGAGACATGGCACGCCGAGGTTGACCTTTATCACTTCTATGGCCCTGCTGAGTGCTCCATCTACTGCTACTCCTCTCACTGGCTCCTAGTCCATCGAGCAAAGACAACAAGGTAGCCGTGGACTCTCGCTTGAGCTGCTCTCCCTCCACCACACTGGAGCTACAAGCGCTGGAACTGGAGGCGCTTTTGCACTGGTGGCAGACAGCTAGTCACAAGGCAGATGTCTACAAGGACATTATCTCGCTGCTTTCACGATGCATCACTTCGTTTATCCGCAGAGCTAAATCTGACCCAATTGGGGCTTATCAAAAATCTTCTGCTGTCTTTGACCGCATCACCGTGATGACTAGGTCCCAGCGTTTGGAGGCCACCCTGTCATCAAAATCACCACTTGCCGTGATCTATCAGGCTCTGGAAACGGCAACTCGGGCAGCTCGATTATACAAGGAATCGGCCGACTGGATCTCCAAGATCAAGGGGACTCTCGACCCTGAGAGTGATTCGGCATCCAAAGGTTGCGCAGTAGCTCCTGGAGCAGCAAACTAAGCAGCAGCAGCGTCCTGAGCAGGATCGGGCGTCCTCTGCAGGGCCGAAATTGGGTTGTTGAGCGGCACGACCACGATAAGCTGGTTCCTATAGGACGCACAGGCGAACTCGTCGTCAAGGGCCCCACTGGTCAGCAAGGACTACCTCAACGACGCCAAGAGGACAAAGGCCGCCTTCATCAAGAACCCAGCCTAGGCCCCGACCAAGACCAAGGACAGCACCACACGCAGGATAGGATGTACAAGACGGGCGATGTGTTCTTGCAGAATACCGACAGCAGCTTCGACTTGGTCGGCCGAAAGGACAACCAAGTCAAATTCAGGGGCCAGCGCGTGGAGTTTAACGAAATCAGCTCCGCCCTGCTGGATAGGCCCGAGGTCAAGCACGCGGCGGTTGTAGTCCCCAAGACCGGTCTCTGCGCCAAAAGACTTGTCACTGTGGCATGTTGCCTACATGCCGAAGGTGAAGTTGAGACCCGCGTCAAGGCTGGTGACGATACGATGGCCATGTCGCCTGACATGTTCGGCGCCCGCACACTAGTCTTACAGAAGGTCCTTTGAGTGCCTTCTGATTGCGTCGACATGAGCCGGTCATTCCTGGGCTCGGGTGGCGATTTCATCACAGCAATGCAGTTCGTATTAATGGCCAGCGGCAGCGGCCTGTCGGTGAGAGTGGAGGATATTCTCCTGGCCAAGGTCCATTCTATCCTATCACTCTTGCAGATAACTTCCATCATCGCGACGACCTAGTTGTCCCTGAGCTCATCCGTTGGCCCTCTATTTGCTGCGGATCTAATTGACGTGGACAACGACGATTGCTACGTGTTTATGACTTCGAACTTCCTCGTCATGGACTCCTTCTTTTGGACCCTCGTCCTCGACGAGATCAACCACTTCTCGCAGTTTGGAATACTCAAAAACACAGAAGCGTTGCTACCTTATGAGTATTGCTACCTTATGAGCACTGGTGCCAGACTTTGTCGCTGACGTTCAGGCCGTGAGACAACGTCTAGTATGCAAATGTGAGACTCACTGGCGATATGGAATATTGGGGCGTCAACGAGAACCAAGTTGTTGTCTTGAACCTGCAGCTCTATTGCTGCTGTTCTCTGGACGCCGTATCCGGCTGTCAAGGTATGTCCGGAGTAGACTCCACGGACATGTTCCTATCTGCTATCGCATACTCCCTCTGCCTCACCTTCACGGACCACCCGCCTCCGTCCATCTGGCTCCACGTCGACGCGCAAAACGACGTCGATCTACTGCCGCTAGACTACTCCAACACGGTTGGATACTTTACGTATTGATGCAACGTGGACATCACGACACTCTGAGGGTGGAGTTTTCGTTCCCGGACAACATGGGACGCACAAAGGAACTTGTGGCCTGAATGGCCTCAACGAAACCGGTCCTGGACCAAGTCGCTAGCGGCTTGGCAGGCCTTGAATCACGACTACAGCCGTTTTTGAACTATTCTTACCCTGTTCTCAATGCTTGAGGCTAGTTGGAGGCAGGATTATCTCAAGTCGGAACTCCTGGCGGCTCAATCGTCCATCTTGTTAAGCATACGTATCCCTGCTCTTCTCTACAAGAGGACATGCTCTTCTCAGAGGAGAAGGGGAAAGGACACTATAACCTTTTTTTATGTCGTGCGTCTTGGACGCGTATTTTCCGCGGCTACTGTGATTGTCTCCTCTAATTCCTGGGTGGACGCAGGGTTAGGCCTTTTCTGAACCTTCTTTGTGGGAGACCTGCTCTGGCTCGGTTGGCTCTCCCGGGATTGACTTGGGTCCAGCGTCGGTCGTGCGATCCTTGAGTTCGGCCTGGTCCGGGCTTCTGGTCCTTGGGGCTGGTTGTGGGGCCGGTTGTTCCGGGTGGTACCTTGGCCGTTGGTTGTAGGCCCCGAACAACCCACTCCTTCCGGGAAGCCACTCGGCCGGCCGTGGCTACGCGTTAACGACCCCGTTAGCCTTTTGCTCCTCGGCCCGCGGCAAAGCCGAGACGGTGCCGCCCCGTATCCGGTACGGGCCATACGGTCGCGTCGTTCGAGTTTGCACCTTAAGCCGGCCGCAACGGCAATCCCGTCTCTGAGCCGACCGACATGCGCCTCCGTCCTCTCGAGCCGCCGTGTCGTCTCCGCAGGTCTCGAGTGCAGGGGCTACTACGTCGGCGATACCACGTCTTCTTGGGTGCCTCAGGTACGAACTGGGAGTGCATCAAATGTACCGGCGATACCGCGTCCAAGTAACGGCCCAGGTACGAACTGGGAACGCAGCTCCCCTGCTGCCTTCTGGTCACAACCACGGCGCTACGGCCCACCAGAAACCCCGGGCGCAACCCCAGGTCCAGCTTCCCGTTACCGCGACTCGTCTCCAACTCGCAGCCGACCATGCCTTGCGGATCAGAGGCGCAGAGCAGCCGTCACGCCGGCACGACTACTCGCACTCTGTCCACTGACCCAACCCGTGTCTGCCGTATGATGTTCGATCGCGGTGCGCTGTGTCCTCAGGATCGGTCCGGCCGCTTCTCCTGTGCTCGTAGCTTAACAAGTCTGCTGACACCATGTCAACCCATCGGTCTTAACAACTTCCATTACGCTCGACCAGAGCCCGTAGGCTTGTTCCGAGCCCTCGCCAGGAGACGCGCCGATGCCTCATGATGCTCGACTCGTCCACCTCCCAAGCCCAGAGCCGAATGGGCCGGGGGGTGTCTTGTCTCTTCATCGACGTAAGCCAATGTCAAGTCGGATGGTTTTCTTACGCCAGTATCCCCCGTGTAGCATGTTAGCTTCAGAAATGGCGTGGGTAACGCGGTGGTCGTTGATCGCGTAGTCCGTTTGGAGGTTCTCGAGTGCCGATGAAAACTTGTCACAGCACCACCCAACCGCGGTTTTTCGACCGCGCGCGACGCACCGCGCCACCCCCACCACTCCTACTGACACCGGACACCACGAGAAGGTCTGCCACATCGTCCCACTGCTCTTTCAAGCAGCATCTTTTGTACTCACCGGAGGCCTGTCTCTCCCTATCCCGCAGTTCCAACGCGAAACCCCCCTTTCGTGACCCCTTGGTGGTATGTTTATCTGAACCGGCCCCTCCGCCGGTGTCTCGCCGGTACCCCCCCACTCCCACAGGCGCCTCTCCGTCCACTGCAGTGCCTGACACGCAGTGAGCTGTATGCATCCCTCTCATTCAGCTTCACCCAGCCCGTGTGCTGGAGGGACTGCTCGGCTTTGGGTTTTACTTAAAAGCCTAGGCTGACTATGATGGCTTCCCTGTCTCTTAACCTCGGGCACATCCGCCAGATCCAGCTATGTGTCAAAACCGTCACGGAAGTCCGAGTGACAGTTCGGGGCCATCAACTGTTGCATACGCGACTGTCGTACCCAGTGACGATTGAAGATGGGTTGGGCCTGCGCAAGCGAGCAGGTTCGCCCGCAACAGTTCCGGATTCTGGATCCGCTGATCGAGTTGGCAGCCACCTCTGATGACATACACCGACAAAGACGACTTGAAATAAGAGACCGAGATAGATAGCGCAACGTATCATGGCCTTGTGAGGCGGACACCTACACGTCGCAGCCTTGGTCGTGTTAATGGTGTACTCAAGAAGACATTGTGGCTCAGCCGGAATACGCTGGAGAAACCTCCCGTGGTCGCCGGCTTGTTGGCATCTCACCAGGTTGTCAGCCGCTCGGCAGGCAGTTCAGGCGAGCCCCAGAGCCATGTGATGATGAGCGATAGAAGCCATCCGATGGCTGCAATGACAAGGCCGACCCAGCCAGGGACCGCGCATATAAGAACCAGAATATCAACAATTAACTAGCAAGCTTGAATGACAAGAGCCAGGACCGTCTGGATGCGCTCGACCAGGCCCATTTCCTCCCACGCCTGCGAGCCCGCAATGCACGCTATGATGAGCATAGCCAGTGACATGGCGCAGGCGAACCCGCGGATCGCATACTCAGTGGTGCTAAACTTGAGTTTTGTCTTGACGACCTGCTCTGAGCCCTTTGCTGCCGCCTTGGCCGACTTTGACAAGGAGTCGATTCGGTCTCGGACTTGTTCGGGAGCGGCTCCAGCTTCGCCAGCCAAGGTTGCCTGGACATTCCTTGACTTGTTCGTGCCGAGCGCCATGTCCTTGGAGCTGATGGCGTTGCGACGAGTCCGATTCGCCAGATCTGTGGTCTCCAGGACGACATCTGGGTGAGTAGCCATGGAGACTTCCATGACGGACATTTCTAGATTCCGCGCAATCACGGCATTTGACTCGGCGAGCTTTTGCGCCGCCTTGACACCCTTACCCTTGAACGTCTCGTACGCCTTGTAGGTGGTAAAAGCCAAGTTTCCGAAAGCTGGAAGCTGCCAATGACGAGGCGAGCTTTTTGGAGCTTGGTCAGACTGCTGGAGTCTTTGAGCCACGATCCCCATGCGTCCCAGGACTCCCAGACATACCACGACGTCTACACTCTCATCAGCCCCTGAATCGAGAGTTTGGGGCACACAACACGACTTACCATTCCCAACCCAAGGGCAAACATGAACGCTCCTGTCCACGGCTGGGCCTCCACATACGCTGGCTCACTCGGCTTTTCCGGCTTGGACTTTTGCGACGAGTAATCTCCCTTCTTGCCCCCCTTCACCGCCCTCCTCGCAAAAGCCCACACCCTCGCCAACCCCTTCCGACCATAATACACCACGCCAGGAATAGCTTAGACACCTTCTACCGCCCCGCTGGCCACTCCGGCAGCGCTCTTAATCATACCGCTGGCCCTGTCGACTGTGTTCTAGGGATTCTTCTTTATTTTGCGCTTCTAGTAACCCTCCTTCCACTGGTTGAATTCCACCAGACTCTCGACCATGGCCTCGCGGAATTCGGTTGACATGCCTGCTCTGTTTGCGGCGTATTCGTCGAGGATGAGGGTGAAGAAGTCGAGAAGATAATCGCGGAGGCTGTTCTCGAGCTGTTTGGGGTCGTTGATTGCGCGGTGCTTGAAGAGGTTTTCCCGGAGAAGACAGGCCTTGACTGCGTTGCTTAGTTGTAGGGTTAGCGGGCCGAGGTCTTCGGTGCCCTTGTCGTCCTTCCAGAGGGCGTTGAGCACTGATGAACAGCCATTGGTGACACAGCCTCATCGCGGCATCACGGAAAAATACTTACTTGTGCAGTACATCTCCAGCGTGTTGAGCTGCGTAATCTCTGATAGCGCCGACTCTTTGGCAATGTGCGCAACCATGTCTTCCTGCATGAGCGCCTCAAACAAAAGGTGTGCCCACTTCTTTCCACCCGACATGGCCTTGATGGCATCGTTGTTCGTCTCCTCGGTGGCCATCGTCTTGTCGCTCAGATAGTCACTGATGCAAGGGTACTTGCGCCGAAAGACCAAAATAGACAGCTGCGTGTTGAGCTCATTGTACTCGCGTGACTTGCCGAGACAGCGTTTGCCCGACCCTTGCCAAGAGTACTTGAGGCGACGCTGCCACGGGACGTCGACACGCACCTTGAATCTGCTCTCTTGTTCGTCTGTGAGTCCTACGGCGCACTGGGCGATCCAGGCTGGCGCGTAAGTGCCCTTGATCCACTCTTGTAGTTTAGGGTCCAACAAGCCCGCAAGATCGTCGGGAATCTCGTCGATGCCGTACGTCAGGCTTGCGGTCGGCGTCGGTCTCTCCTTGACCCCCAAGATCAACTTGCGATCGTCGGCGTCCATGTGGTAGTGCATGACCTTTTGGAGCAGCTCTTGGGTGTCCTTCTTTAGCTCGAAGGTGTTGATAGTGAAACCTGTCGTGAGATCTCTCACGCTCTGAGTCTTGGCCTGTATGGGAAGAAACTGCGGCTTTGATCCCGTCGTGGGACCAGGAGATGTTCCTTTCTCCGGGGGGCTAACTAGTATCGCGGGAGTCTATATCTTTTTGCCGTAGGCCTTGTAAGACAATCTTTCGTCATCTACCGTCTTAAGGTCAAACTCAATCCAGGTACCGCCAATCAAGCCTTTAAGCGTGTTAGTAGTTAAGACAATCTTTTGCAGGATGAACCTCATGTCCAAATCTCCCTCACTCAATCTCATATTGGTGAACTTCAAATCCGTATACGACTTGACGCCATGATCGTCTGAGCCTTCAAGCACATTATAATCCGCCGCCAGCGCGAGTCTCTCTGGTGAGATCATGGTGATCTCACAGCAGAGCTCTTTCTTCTCTGTGCGCGTGACGAACATGCTGTACATGTTAATAATCTTAATCCCTGGGGAGGATGTCTCGTTGAGCTTGGCAGCTAGCCGATCGAGCGCGGGAAGCGCAAAGTCAAACTTAGGGACGCCTTCGCCCGCTTGCTTAAGCACTTTTTCGACTTGTAGCACCTTGAAAGGAAATTCTCCAGTAGGGCCGTCCTGGAGGGTGTCGACCTCGCATGAGGTCGTACGTTTCGACGACTGATTCTATCACGTATGACGCCGCTGTCGGTTTTGGGCTGTCCATCTTTTAGACAGTTTTGACTCTTTCTTCGAGAATGGACGTGTCTGAAATGAAAACACTCACCCGGGCAAGGCCCGTTTCGGCGACAGGTGTCTCATCCTCGTTGCTGCTCTTTTCTTCTTCGAGCTCGTAAGACTCTTCGGCGGCAGCTTCAGCGCCAGCAGAAGAGAACGCCTGCTCCCCACCGGCTCCCATCTCCTCCGTGGGCACGTGAAGGGCGACAGCCAGGGCTTGGAAATGGACAGCCTTGCTCGAGGGTTGTGTCGGTGCCGGGTTGTCGTCGACCCAGATGAACCCGTCTCCAGCTGCCATGTTATGGTCACCGCCAAACGAACACAAGCCGTGTTCCCATACATCATCCTCCAGGGGTCGCGACCAGACAAACCCTCGTTCCAGGACTTGCGCGCACACACACGCCGTCCCGTCAAGCCAAATCTGACCATCTATGCAATCGACATTCGGGAGGCTGCCATAATCACCTAACCGCTCCTTATCGGCAGCGTTGGCAGTCGACCTAAAAGAACGGCTCTGAAAGTAGAGCGCCGGCACTTTCGGTCCCGATAATGGCTTGGTGCGCATGGCTAAAAGCTCCGAGTCGCTTCTGCCCAGCTCGGCATGAAGCAAACCCATGACCGTCCCCTGTCCAAACCGTGCAAGAAGCGGCTGTAGTTCCTCCAGATGACGAAGCATACGCAGCTGATCTGCGGGGGGGATCTGTCGAAGAGCATTGGCCATGGTTTTGATGGTGATCTCTGGATAGTTCATTTGCACGAGATACCCGTTGGCGTGGTAGCTCCGAAGACCTTCGCGCAGGTGCACTCCGTGAACGAACTCGCAGTTGACAGTTTCTAGCCGGAGACTTTGGATGGGAATTTCAGTGTATGTTCGTCCGTCGTCGGTGTGCAGGAGAACGTACCCGACTTTGAGCGCTCCGACCTCATGCCAAGTGTTCTCTTGATGAGCGGCTGTAGCGTCCACGGCGCGAACTCTGCCAAACTTGTCGACAAAGGGGTGATTCGGTGTGAAGAAGGCTGGATCGTCGTTGATGGCGCAGAGGGTGATTTGTCCTCCTCGGACGGGCGTGCGGACGATTTCACCCGACACAACACCCCATTCGTTCGTGTCGGCTCGGGTCAGCACCCAATCATGTTCTCACAACGTCTCAATTAGCAATGACCCTTGGCTAGTTAATAGTATTGTCCCTGCCACAAGGCACGATGGGGTAGGCCGGCTCCAAGTCTTCTTGCCAGAACCGGACACCCGCAATCTTGTGCTCCAGCACGGATCCGCCCCAGTGAGTCAGTCCACTTTGTGTCTTCAGCTGGTCGCAGCATAGGCGTTTTGAACAGTTGCGTGTACCAATTCCACACATCAACGTCCTTGCATTCGATCTGCGCAGCCGCTAGTGCCACTCTGTACTGGTGATCCTGGACTTTGCGCTTGTCTGCAGTCGGCATGTCGCCTCCCCGAAATACATCGCCCATGTGGACTTCTCCAACGGTATCCTTGTCGATGGAGCGCAGTGCGGCTTGCGCTAGGACTTGGATCTTCTTTTCCCAGTCGGTCCAGAGCTACTGTGCGAAGCCGAGTGTGTTTTGCGGAATGGACATGAGGAGCTTGGTCTTGATGGCTTCGTTACTCATAGCCTGCGGTGCTACGGATGCCAGCACATTCTCAACTATCAGCGGTAGTCCACTGGCCATGTCTAGATTCGGTAAATAGACAAGGTCCACAGGCAACAGGATCTGCATCAAATCTTGTGTGAACTTGGACCAGTCCTTGACATCGCCCTCAACCCGCGTGCTCGTCTGAGCTGCTAGGACCTTGTTGAAGACATTAGAAAAGGTTGTCTTCTCGCTGGGTGCTTTCATCTGCTCCAGCCAGGCTTTGACTACGCCTGCAAACGAGTCACCCGCACTGTCGGTGTTAGGGACATAACCAACAAGGCAGGGAGTATTGCCTCTGCGGAAGAACTCGTAGACGAAAAGAAGATTTGAGCGATAGTTTCCGCAGCTGAATAGCTCGGATGAGTCTTCTGCGATGCTGAACTGGACAGCTGAGTCTTGTTAGTAAGACAACAATATTTTTGTCATGGGGCGGAACAAACCTTCAGTGGTCAAGATTTCACGGTAAAGTTGCTTGAATATGGCGTTTTTCGCCAGAGTTCGGAGTTGTGGGAGGGCAACATCGTTCAGAGCACTATCAGACAATCAGATCCTGCTCTTTCGGGACATTGGGCTTGCAACATACCTGTCAATATGCGCTTCAATGAGAAAGGGGACCAAATTCATAAGCAACGACCGCACCAAAGCGGTTGTTTTGTCCTGTACAAAGTAGTCAGTAAAATGCCTAAAGTTCGTGGTAAGATCTAGGCGCCTACCCGGTTCGCGGACTTTACAAATCCATACTCGTCACCCGGCTGCGATGACAAAGCCATGGCCAGACTCAAGGCTGCGAGTGAATCGCCACCATTCCTGACTTCCTTGTGGTTGTTGCGTATGTCCTCGTAGACATCCCATGCGTTCGGATCATAGCTGTCCGTCAAGTCTACCAATGCACTCAACTGGCCATTGGTAACCAGGTGATGGCAGACCGCGCGCGCTGAGGTGGCTGATGTGAATGCGGCAGTGCTCTGTAGAACTTGGATCACCTCCATTACCTTGTCCCGCAAGAGATTCGGGGTGGCGGCCATGTTGAACCAAATGATTAGCACACGTCAGAGTGACCGCAAGATCACCTGTTGCTCAGGTGCACTAAGATCAGGTCCTTGGAGTAACGGGATATACAGAAAAACACACCAGCATCATAATTACTAGTCAGTGGGCTGGTAAAGATTCTTGAGGGTTTTAAAGAGAGCAACAACGACTCCGGATTTTTTTTGCCTTTTTTTTAAGTGACAATCTAGGCCTCTTAGTAGTAAAAAGTTGAAGCTGACTATGTCATAGCAAGGATTTGGTTGGTTACTATTGGCACACAGAAGAGACATAGCGGCGTGTTTTATTAGCACAATCTTCTGAAAGCAGCAAAGCTGAACTTGCTAGCTTCGGCTAGAAACCAGGGTGGTCTCGCCACCACAAAGTTCATTGCTTCTCTTAGACAAAACAAACGCGTCAAATCGTCCAAATAGAATCCATATTAAGCCAGTTATCCGCTGTCAGGCGTTAGCTTAGAGATGCTCAACTTTCAGCTAAGTCCAGCTGGAATAAAACGTCCTATGTGGCTCGATTTCGACCCCCTGTAAGTTTCTATCATGCTCGGCAGTGCTATAACTGTGGGGTTTTGGCAAGTGATTTGTCTCTTAACTCTGAAGTTCGTACCCTGTCTGTGCATCATACTGGCCGCAGGCCGCCGGCAATCTAGCCCTCGCTTTTCCGGCCGTGCTTGCTGGGGCCCGGTGGTTCCGCTCTGGTGTAGCCCCGGCGATGCCCTCTGGTCCCCAATATCCATCGAGGCCACGGAATCCCTCAAGACCTTATTAATGTACTTGATTAAGTAAATAAATATAGCTATATAAGAGAAGCTGTAATAAGGTTAATAGAGTTGACGAAAAAGCTTACCTAGATGTCGCGATGCCTTCACGACATCGCGCAGCCTTTGAGGGATCCGACCGGTGCCGGAACATCTATTAATCCGGACCTACCGCCCAGATCCACTATACTGACACGTATATCTACGAGCCTGAACAGGCAGCCTAGAACATAGATAGTCAAGCCGTTTTCCTATGACTTTTCGTGATCAAATAAGTGCATCGTGACACTAGATTTACAGTTAGTTTTTTTTATATTGAGTTCATAAAGAGTACTACTACGGTCTTTTTGGTAGGGTTGGCGCCAACAAGGTGTTGGCAGCGCAGCCACAAGTACCGAGCTGTGACCGTGGCCGTTACGGTCGCATTACGACCACACCACGGCTAGTGACTTTGGCGTGACTGTTACGTTAATTGGATGTGGCATGACCGAGGCAGAACCCCCACCTAAACCATCCTCAGACATCCCCAGTCGCATCGCCATGGCCAACGTAGAACCGACTGGTCCAACATGCCAGCCGCTCATTAATTAGTTGCCTGCCGCTGAAGATAGAAATCTCCTCTTGACTAGAACAGTAGTTTTTGACCTGCATCTGCTGGCTACTAGTTTTACACATGGCTAAATCAAGAACGCGCTCAATGCTTTCGCAGCGTACAAAGAGCATCTACCTAATCCTCACCCCTGTCCGCAGGCCCTAATAGATATTTCTCAGTCCAAGTATACCTAATTAATGCAAGCAACCCTTACACTAGGAGCAACCAACAAGTACATGAGTTATAATGTGGCATGTTTGGGTCAGGTTCTCTGAGCGTTCCATATTTGCATTTCACCACTGCGGTGTAGAACCTTCCGCGCGTAACCCGTCGACGGTCGCGCACACCGCCACAGTGTGGCTAGGTGGATTCCCACGTCAAGTACGGAGTACATTCGACTTTGGGAAACCCATGCTCAGACAATTCGCCGACGTTTCCCCGTCCGTCATCCGCTGTGCCTGATTCCACCAGGCATCTTATCAGACATGGATTATGTAAGGGCATCCCTATCGATAAGATACCAACCTTACCATCGACTATTGGTTTCCACGTCAACCGCCGCGTCAACATGTCGCCGGCGCGATGCATTTCGTTTCGACGTAATTCTGTCACCACACCTATCATCACCTTCCAATCCGCAGCTGCCGCCTCTCATCCGTCGCCGCATAGAAAACACATGGAACATTTCCTTTGCCCTCAACGGAGAGTATTCGAATGGCTTGCTGACCTGCCTTGCACCTCACCATTGCCAGCCAGCCCCACGCCTCGCAATTTCCATCGACGAAGCAAAGGTCATGACCAAGGGCCGCGCCCGGCCAAGAGACGCCGCCTCCTTACTCCACCACAATCAACCATAATGACGTCGCTCTACGACAAGAGGTCACTCGACGATAGCGGTTCCTCGCTCAGCCTCACCTCTTCGTCCCACCATGATCCCGACCAAACGCCTACGAAGCGCCCGCGAACGATACCGATCCTTGGCCCCTTTGGCAAACCCCCCTCCTCCACTCATCGCAGCGGCTCCCTCTCGCCCAAGAAACAGGCCCGCAACACTACAAAGACCACCATTCGCTGTCAACAATACGATGCCACTCAAGGCATCCCGCTGACTCTCCAGACGTTCTGGAGACAGATGAACGCATATAGCAAGGGGATATGCGTGGTCGGTGCCGCTGAAAAGGTTGGTGAGATTCTTGCCGCTTCTTTTGGGGACCGCGGCCCTTTCCAGGTCGAGCCTTGAACGCTGACACATAGGCCGGACCTAGGCTGCCGTTCAATCCGCCTTTGAGAGAATACCAAGATTTCAACAAGAAGCCATTGACGACTACGTTTTCGAGCCGTCGTCAGCAGCAGATGCCCCCCAGCCACGGACAAAACTTGGGCCGACCCCCAAAGTCGAGGACGTCCTGAATATCCTTGCAAATAGCAAAGCCTGCAACGACATGGTCCTGGACGAGCCGGGTTGGAATCAGGCCGTACACGGGCCAGTCCTCTCGTTAGCGTTCCCGCCCATCTGGCGATCTCGACCGATCGACCTCACGGCTTACATGCCTTGGTTTGTCTCCCTTATTCCAAGTTGCGTCGTGATTCTGATACTGATATCTGGGGGCTATGCCTCTTGCATAGCACCACGGCATCCCTGATATCTTCATACGCCGAGTCTCGTGGGCGCAAAGTCGACTACTGCGTGTGCATTCAGCCTGACGCCCTCTCCGCCGCAGCCATCCGCGCCATACGCGACCAGGATGTCTGGACTAACATTTCCATCAATCATACCGACTTCAACGCGCTCCAGGAACTACCCATCGCACTCAGCATCGAGACTAAGATTCAGAGCGGGGACGAAGCCGACGCCCACGCCCAGCTCGCCGTTTGGCAAGCTGCCCAATGGCGTCTCCTAGAGCGCCTTGTCGGTCGTGATGAGCCCAGCACGCCGCTGGTGGACTTTCTTCCGGGCATCGTCGTTCTAGGCCACTCCTGGTACTTCGTGGCAAGTACAAAGCGGGGAGACAGCATTGTACGTAACACCCGCGGACTAGCAGGGCAGAATTCACTTGGCTGACAACTTTTTCGACCAGACGCTTTGGACAAACCAACTCATCGGTTCGACAGATCAAGTCATGGGTGTTTATCAAATTGCGTGCGCGTTGCAGTATATCGCACGATGGATCGAGGACACGTACTGGCCCTGGTACAAGCGAGCCGTGCTCAGGCTTTCGGCAGAGGACGTGCAAGAGGAACGCAGCAATACATGAGCGAGGTGGTGGCGGGGAGGAATGGGACACAACAGACAAAGGGAGGGAGACGCGCGACGGCAAACTCGACAACATTGTAGTGACCATCATCTAGACGTCATAGGAAGCCGTACCCATTCGATATCTGACCGGTGCCGCGCAGCTGAACCGAGCAGAAGTGCCCTCGAGATGGCCGCAAAGGGGTATATCTGCAGAGCCGGGGTGTTGCAGAATGAATAGCTCCACTAGCATAATAAAAGATAGCTAATGTTCTCTGGAATTTATGATGCAGACATTAAGAGAAGCCAAAAACTTATTAGGAGACAGAACTAATTAGTATAAAGCTAACTATATCATCTCTATTATTTGAAACCACATTTGTATTATATAGGTTATAAAAGTATCAATAGCCAGTCGTAGTAAAGTACTAAGTACACTAAATACTTAGACTTTAAGTAAATTATAGATACTGCTATAGATTATACGTGCCCAACTGGACTTATAGGTATACTAATCTTAGCCCAGCCTTGATTGATCCTAAATCTTCTGCAACCGGCCTCTGATCGGCTTCATGACTCTTTGACGCCCAGGGCACCACCCGAACGACATTTGAAATTCTACCAAACGCATCCTGTGACGCAACCCATCCGGTGTCCTGGCTCCCTGGTAACAAACCCGATAGCACATGTCCATGATCAGCTAGTAGTTCAGCCAATCACCTGCTCTGCGAGCATCTAAAGTATGCTTGATCTCTCCTTTCTGCGGGCTTCCAAAGCTAACACTACGCATTCAACGCTACGCGCTGAATTCCCGCGTCCACCCTGGGAATTCGAACCAGGCGTCCGTTATACCAGAGAGATACAGCTCGTCCGAGTTCCAGTCCTTGGAGATGCCCACGGTCCAGGTACCAAAGGGACTCGGCAGGGCAAGCTTCAAGTCATGCTCTAAGCAAACCTTCGCCTTAAGATCACCATCCATGAGTATCTCGCGTATACAAGCATTGTACTTGAAGTCAAAGTTAATGTTCTCGTGGTTAAACCTAATAGGCATGTCGTACTCGTTACAAAATGTTGAGTCACCATGGTGCGTTAGCTGGATGAGCACCTGCGCGGAGTCAGCAGGCACGTCTGCGCTCTCAAGGTAGAAGCGTACGACAGACGCGCGTAAGCCTTGTAATATGTAGAAGTCGCTCTCTGCCTTCCTGGCCGTTTTGTGCACCGCGTCGAGCTTAAGCGTGACCAGCCGGTCCTCCTCGAGGGTGTCAAGCTCGAACTTGCCGAGGTGCACCTCCATTGGTTTCTTGGTTAAAGGGTCAATCTTTTGAACCCCGTAGGCCTGCCACAGACTGCTAAATTTGTTGGCCTGATTGGCTAGTTTGGGTGGGAGCTTTGTAAACGTCTTGTCCAGGGCTGTGGAGTTGCTTGGGATGGGAAAGCCTATCCTGCGGATAGTAGCAAGGTTGTCTGTTTTTGTGTCTAGAGTATACTGAGTCCTCTGTTAGTCATAATCATGAGAACTTAGTATAAATAGAAGAAAACTACCTACACAGGCTAGTGCCCAGTCTACATCGTATAGCAACTAGAGCTTCATTACTGTGATATTCGAGAACGCCTAATTAACAGCAACAGCAAATAAAGGAACCTTTCTGTCAAGGTTAGCAACATGTTTGGTCTTAGCGCCCACAACCTGCTGCGCATCCATTTGTGTGGCCTGCGACTGTTTAATGAGCCTGATGCAGACGTTAAATTACAGGATCTCACTTTTACGCGTTTGTATTCCTACGACGTCGTCCTTGACCGCCTTGAGAAGAGCCTTTGCTGTGGTCTCGTCAATAGTGGCGACGTACTTGTTAACCTAGGCCTCAACATCTTCCTCGTCTCCAATGAGCTTAGTAGCAGTGGGCTCATCAATGACAATCTTGTCCGAATCCACGTTGGAGTAGATAGACGTATCAATGTCGTGGGTCCAAGAGCCCATGGTCTTGAGCTCGCTGATCACGTAGGTCTTGTCAATGCCTGTCTCAGCCAAATCTAGTATCTATCCGCGCGCAAGTTAAGCTAATTAATAATATAACACCACATAGAGACACTTTAACTTACTGTACAAGTGGCAGTGTCAACAATGCTCAGAGCTTGCGCAATGGCCATTGGCAAGCCTAGGGCCAAAAGAAATTAAGAGTCGGCAGACAAAAAGCTTTTGAGATTGAAGTTCAGCTGCGGCCACGTGTCAGTAATAAGGAATCATTATGTCGCCAATAGCGATAACATGCACTTGTGATCCTACATTCGACACAATGGCTTGATCAGCCTGCTGTATAGTCATGTCCACAGCTCGTGCCTGGGGTGTCAGCATGTTCTGAAGGGCATCGATCCTTCTGCGCGACTTTGTGAGACGCTTCTTCAGCTCCTGAATTTCCTCATTGCCTCGGTCGACCGACGACTGTGCAGCTGCCCGCGCCGCTTCTTCCTGGCTCTCGGTCATTATCTGATCCTTGGCCATATTCTGAAACTCCTGATGGATTTTCTCAAGCTTGGTATAGTCATCTTTCACGCTCTCAAAGGTTTCAAGGTACAGCTTCAGGGTTCCACAAAGCGAGCACGTCTTGGCATAGCCGTAAAAGTCAAAGCATAAGGCTAGCTGCGCAGAGTAACCGTCGAGTTTCTTTTTGCCGTCCTGGAGGGACTGGATCGATGAAGGCTTTGCCCCATCAACACTGCTGGGCACAATGGATAGACTGCTCTCGTCGCGCTGATAGGCAGCCCATACGGGCAAGTCTTTGTTGATAGGATCTAGCCATTGCAGTCGTTCGAGCTGCGTAACGATGGTATTCGAGGCCGGTGCTAGCTGGACCGTGTAATAGAGGTGCTCAATTCGCTGCAGGGTCATGGCGACTTGATCAGGATGAATGATAGTGGAGTCAGTCTGCAACAGATCCTTATCGTCAAGGCCAGAACTGACAACGGTTCCCGCAAGTCCACAAGTTCCGTTGAGACCTGGAGGGAAGCCTTCACCCCCAAGCCCACCATAACCATAAGCGCCGCCTTGCGTTTCCACCCTAATGCAGCTTGTGAATTGCTCGCTACACCACGACAGACGTTTGGCGAGGGAGCTAAGGGACCAGCGGAGCTCCGGCCCCTCCTCGGAAAGACTTTTCGCGGTCTTCGCCTCTTCGAGGGCTGTTCTCAGCATATTTATGTCTTTAGCAAGACTCACCAACATCTGAAGTATTAGACAGGCAAGGTCAAGCCAGGCATGCAGCGCGACGAAGTCCGAGATTGGCCTCCTTTTACTCATCAGCGTTTCTTTCTTGATAGCTAACACAACTTGACCTGTGGGTCAGCCTACGACACAAACTTTGATTTTGGTGACAACGCCCACCCTATGAGGCTCTCCATGGAAGACAATACGGCGACTTGGTATTGCGACTAGTGGGAGAGGGTCGAGTGGAACGAGCGGTTCGCGATGCTTCAGCCCGGCGCAATTACTGGCGGTGGTCGATGGGGCTCCGTGGCATACCATGTATGGCTCCATAAGTCGCAGGCTCTGTTTACAATTGCCAGCGACGAGGAAGTGGAGGCAAGGCTACATGTAAGTGCCGACGACTGGACGTATTGGCAACACGGCGACGATGGTGACATTCTTGCTGACATGACTGGTCATCAGCAACCAATTCCGCCATAAATCAAGACTGGCCTGGACAACATCAAGCTTCCTACAGCGGACAGCAGCGCCATCCTGAAGTACTTCGCTATGACCAACGTCTTCGCTCCTGGGAAGCACACGATTCAAGTGGACAGTGCTCCAAATGCTCATCTACCTTACGACCTCATCATTTTTGGCAACGTAGAGCCAGCAGAAGAAAGTCCCACAGTCCAGGCCATAGCCATCATTAGCATTCAGTTTGCGCCCGATAATGTCGTCAACACCGCCCCGAAGAGCAACGAGGACTACCGCCGCGATATGCCAGGTGACAAGCCAATCCTCAAACAAACCTTGGACATCCTGGCCGATGGCAAGACTGACGAGATTCAAATGTTGATAGCTGGGGGATCAGACTACCATATCAACACTGAAGCCTCGATCAAGACGGCCGAGGCGGACGACGCTGATTACTCGGCCTCCTTCGAGCTCAACCAATTCGGAGGCATGTACGAGTTCATCCAGCCGGACAGCTTAAATAAGGCCGTACTGGTCGTCGACTCTGCCAACTTACGGTATGCGCAGATCTCTCAAAGCCCCGCCACAGAAAATAGAGCCCGGGGACTCGCAATGCAGCGTTTACATCAACGGCGACCATGTCCACAACGAGACAGACAACAATGGAAACATCGTATTCACAAACGATGGCTACAAGTATGTTCTACGCTTCAGCCTGGCTAAGGCTTCGGTGGACGATGAAGCAGTCTTCACGACGTTCAAGGGCACGCGCAGCAAGTCAGGAGATGCAGCCGCCGAGAACGTGGCGGGCAGGATGAGCAAAAGCCCACCCCTGGATAGCACTGTAAGTAGAAGCAAGTCCTTACCTATTTCCAGTATCTATGTCCAAGTTTCTCGGCTGCAGTCTCTCAGCCTTGGCATTCGTCTGGTCTATTGGGCCAAGCTTAGAAAGCGGCAGTTTCTAATCGATGATTTTCCTCATTGATTTTAGATTGCATTGACGCCGTCCAGCACAATCCCCTCGTATATTTTTGGTGCAATTGGAGACACTTACTTTATCGCAGCGTATGTCAGTGACAAGGTGGTCAAATACCACGACTGGCATGCGCGGAAGTTGCTTACTGCAGAGGAGACAAAACGTAAGGCACTCAAGCGCATTGCCCAGGTACCCCAACAGCACGTACCCTTCTCGGCCTTGGAGCCACAGATATTCCAGGACCAGGTGGAGAATCATACGCGCAGTGAGGTGCAGAATTAGGTGCCACATGATCCCAAGATCGGAGATAACGCGCTCAAGAAGGCGGCCGCCGACGCTGCGCACGCGAAACTTGTGAGCAAGTGCAACTCTGTCCTTGGACTGTACTTCAGCGCGCGGATGCAGGCGGTCGAGGGTGTGCTGACCAGCGACGAGTCGAAGGCTCAGTTGCACAGACTTGCAGAAGCAGAGCTCGATAAGCGTCAGGTTCTCGTCAGAGGCCTTACCAAAGATTCAGTCTATATTAAAACGCTCGTGGAGGTAGAAGTGTTGAAAAAGAGGTACGAGGACCATAAGAAGGCCCGCGACGTGAACAACTCTCTGGTGGCTACCTTCAAGGACCAACGGGCAAATTTCGAACAGGAATTAACTCAAACTCAGACAGATCGTGCCAGAGAGGCAGGAAGGCTGAAGGATAAGCAGAATCAATCTGACACAGATATTGACAAGAATGCTACCATTAAGAGCATTAAGAAGAGGATTAAGACCGCAAAGCAGGATAAGCAGGATTGCAGGAATAAACGTAACACAGCTATATAAGACAGGGCAGCGCATGAAGACAAGATAAATACTGCAGGCAAAGAAAAGATCAACCACAACAATCACTATGATCAGGAAAAGAGAAATGTATGGCATTAGTAATATGTATAGTAGTACTAATCAGAATACTACAGTGAAATCATAGAGAACAGCCAGTAATAGGGATACGTTCTAGTATTTCGCCAAGTCAAACAAATACAAAGCTCAAACGTGATTGTATACGAGGGTTCTGTGCTGTACATGACAGTGAACTCATGTCTATCTGACGATAGACACAAAACTAAGTAGGAAAATTCAAGACAACGTATCTCATGCTTCAGCACACAATGGCCTAGTTCCGCGCGTTAGGATCAAGCCGCCACTTGATGCAGTTGTTCTCCATGGTGCCACCCTGCTTCCTGTTCTCCCCGTTGGTATCGCACTGATCGACGGGTTTCCGCAGCTCCCTGCCGTATTCCCCTTCGTCAACCCTCCACTCGCAAGCCTGCTTGATCTCTATACTGGCAATGACCTCGACCCTGGCTACCTCCCACTCTGTGCGCGATTCTGTGGGCCACTTCGCCTTGTACTCGCGGTATGTTCCGGGACTTAATGTCTAGCCTTTGAGGCCTGCGCAGAGGCGGTCGATTGCTTGTATGGTCCGCCAACAATACGGCCACTGCCCGCTGTCGTAGCAGTTGACTTTGTCTTGGGACGTGTCGGGACTGTTAAGTTTTGGGGGCTCTGGTGTCTGGGTCGGCGTGGGTGTCGATGTCGATGTCGATGCCGGTGTAGACTTTAATGTAGGCTCCGGGTCAGAACTTGGGGGATTGAAGATGCACGTGTCGTCAGGATTACCTTCCTCGTCGGGGTCGCCAGTATCACCAGGGTTTATCTTCGGGGTCCTCGGGGTCATCCAGGTTGGGACCGGGACCGGGATCAGAACCAGTACAGCCAGGGCCAGGAAATACGCACGCCGTCACCGTGGAAAAAGGGGGCCCAGTCTCAACCGTAAGTTTAGGAAAGGTAATTATCGGCGGAGGAGGCGGAGGAGAAGGCGACGGCGGAGGGCAGGTTAAGTGATGGTAGCCATCCTCGTCCCACCATTCCACGACAGGCCATGTCGTGGTCGTCCGAGGCCTTGGGGTCGACGTTCTTGTTTGCCCCGTCTGTATGGGATCGTCTATGTCCACCACGATGGTTTCAATCGGCCACAGTGACTCTGTAGGGGGAGGGAATGTAATGGTAGTCGTTCGGCTCTTCTCTGTGTTTGTCGATGTGACGCGAGGATAGTCGATGATCACCTTGATCTTGGGCCACGGCGGAAGGACAATGGTGCAAGGTGGGAAGCAGTTCAGCTTCGGATTCTCCTGGTCCCAGATCATGGACGAAATCTATATTAGGGTCCCGTTGCTGGCGTTGTCATCGTTTTCTTCCTCGTTTAACAGTTAGCTGGGCCTAAGAATAAACGATGACAGGAAACCCGTGCCTCGGGGAATGATTGTCTCTCTGGGCAACGGCTGGCCGGCTAGTATCTGATTGCCATTGGCATCGGTAAGTTACTGGCCTGGGATGAAGCCGCTCGGAAGGGCTATATCCATCGGAACCGCGAAGCCGGCTGCTATCTCGATTGGGTTCCCGACCGACCCCTCGGTGCCGCAGCATGTAGACGTCTTTTCGGGACCCAGGGGACTATTCTGGCTGCCGTCGAGCGGCAGACCGACAATGTCACTTGCAGCGCTCTACCCAAGGGTGAAGGTCGCACCCGGCTCAACGGTCGTATGTGCCATGGGAATGATGCTAGCCGACTCTGGGGATTGGTACTCATTCGCCTCTCCGCCGCCTCCCGTCCTAGCGTCAAAGTCGATAGACCAAATCATGGTACCCCCCAAGCAGTGTTCGTCCGCAAAGGCTCGCTTCATCGCAAAGGTTTCGTCGTCATCGTAGCCCACCCAGCTGTTGCCGCTGTAGGTGAAATACTTCACCATGGCAGTTTCATTGAAGTACGGTGTAATGCCTTGGTCCTTGATGATGCGCTGAATCTCCTTGTTAGACAAGATGCCCGAGAATGCGGTGAATTCACCTGGGGCACCTCCTTCATCTGGTACGAAGCTGCAGCCCATCATGCCGCAACCGGGATCAGGCAGGGTGTATGTGCGGCCGTAGTAGGCAAGGCCCAAATTGATTTTAGACGGCTCGACACCTTCATACCACAGCGTCATCAGGCCCTTGCTGATCTCCGTGATGTCCGTCTGCGGCCGCACAATGAACCCGAGTGTCTTGACGTCTGTGTCCCAAGATCCATGGAGATCGTACGACATGAAGCCCATAAAGTCAACATATTGTTGCATGTCAGCTGGTTGGAACCCTCGAAGGTACCAGTAATCGGGAGCTAGAGCAAGACTGCTTCCGTAGCCTCTAGGCGTGAAGGCGGCTCTCATTTCCTTCATCAGAGACATCAAACTCTCGGCGTCATCCGCCCGGCCGCCGCGCTTGGGCTCGGATGGGTATTCCCAGTCGATGTCGGCCCCCTGGAAACCAAACTTGTCCATGAAATCCAGCAACGACTTGATAAAAGTAGCCCGTTTAGCTGCAGTAGATACCATGTCGCTAAAGGCGGTCTCGGTAGTCCCGGGATTGTTGAACGACCACTATTCGCCCACTATTCGCCCAGTCAGCTTCAACAAATAAGTTGCGACAAACAAGAAGGGGAATGGTGTCAATGGGAAAGGGGCTACTGACACCTCCAACTGCGATCCACGTCTGCAGACCGTTCCGCTTCAGTGAAGTGAACTCGCCATAGAGAAAAACGTCTTCCTTGTGCATAGACATCACCTGAAACGTTGTTGGATGGAAGAAGGCAAACGAATAAAAGAGATGAGTTAACCCGCGCGTGTTGATCTGGCCAGGGCGGACCTTGTCGCAAACGCGCTCTCAAGTGTTCCATCCTTGGTAATACCCAACGCGACGACTGCCTGAGGTCCCGGATTCTTTTCCACAAGATGGGGCCTCTTTTATCTAGAAAGACCCAAAGCCCAGCTGACATGGTGTCTTACCAAACTGCGGCTCAGGATCAAGACAGTGGACCGACTCAGTGCCACACCAGCCGTAAAAGGAGCAGCAGAGCTTCAGGCCGCATGGCGTCTTGCCATCCGCCGAGTCGATGCCACACATTGCCTTGGCGTCGCAGTCTGATATGCAGGTCGAGCCACAGCTATATGTTTGTTAGCCAACATATTCCGGGAATCCCTCCGCTGGACTCACTTGGACTCCTTGAAACCATAACTTTCTGTGCGTGTTGCAGCAGCTTTCATCCTTACATAGGGAACCAGGTCCGCACTAGATTAGACTGTCTGCTCGAAACGAATTACTTTATCACACAGGAATTATAATTATCCCGCAAAACAGCAGCTTCTTTACGTACGTTTTCGATTCAATCTTTCAGATACTCAGCCTTATTATAAGATACCTGTCGCTCATAGAGATCTACTATAATGAAGTCAAGCTGGTGCCGGAGCTTCTGATGTAGATGGTAGGCATGATTAAGTGCTGATAGTAGCAAGTCGTTCGCGTCCTGAAGCTCTTGAAAGCTAATGGCCCGCCGAAGCATGTCAGAAGCCCGTAGGGCTCCGTGGAGATGCTCGTTAAGCCTCTCAATCGCCCAAGTCTCCACTTCCATTATCTTATGTTCATCTTCTTCACCCTTAGCAGCCATAGCTAGGGCAGACTCCTTACTTGGCAAGGTGGCGATGATAGGCGCTAATGCAATTAATGTAAACAGCCCGCTTGAGAGTAGGGTCAAGATCGGGGTTAGAAACGCCAGCAGCGAACTCCCGAGCGTCCAATTGCTGTTCCTGGCATGTTCAGACTCTTTCAATTTCCTGCGGTACTCATTACCAGTACGGAAATCTTCAGCAGAATTAACCACTTTCTGAATATTGCTGGTAGCCTTGAACAAGGAAACTTGTTCTTGCGCTGGCCCAATGGCTTTAGTAATCACGAACTGATTTACATTTTTATATGTTACATGCCCACTTACCTATGTCATCTTGTCGATAAGGCGCTGACGTGGCTTTACGAGAGAGAATTGTTGGGCTATAATTGAAAGAGTTTGTTGCAATATTAGCGGCCTTGACAAGAGTCTCCGCTAGTTGTATCCATTCTGGATCCCTGGCACCAGAAAACTTGCAGATGTCTATGTGGTTGCAATCAGCAACGCGACATGTTTCTTGTGCTGCGGGCAGCCTAAGTATGGCGGACTCCTCTGGAATAATCCAAAAGCAAGCCATTAGCGCCATGTTGAGAATTTGGAGTTCTTAATGCTAGATATACTATTCTCATTGAACCAAATGGTCGTCCTTTGATCTAGGTATAGAATCTGAATGCTTCGTGAAGGGTTTTAAATCTAGAAAACAGCTCTATGTTATAGGCTGATTGCTGTTTTACGCTTTCTAAGAAGGTATTATTAGGCTGAGTAGACATGGCCAGGAGAATTTTGCTGAATAACTCTCCCCACTGTGCAAGACTGGAGCCTCTGTGAGGCACAGCGAGGAAGAAAATCCCAAAAGTATGCTTACAGTCATCCAAACTCGTCCTGAACCGCCGCTGTAGCCTGCAAGGTCCTGTGGACGGACCAGCGTGACTGGCACAGAAGAAACAGAAGATGCGCGCAGGAGGTTTCCATTCATGATGAAATCACGGCTACAAGGTCCTTGCCTATATAATCTCGCTCCCATGGGATCTCGAGTCACCATGAGTAGTTGATGCAGGCGCAGGCGGAAATCGGACGGCCTCTCGACATTTACAGCCAGCATTTCAACTGTGAACACAGCTGCTTTCGCCCAAAGGCCCCAGCGGGCGGAGTCAACACGCAAGAACTGTGTGGCATCGTAACGCTATCCAACTGATGCAGCTGATTCAACAAGCTCATTCTCATTACCTGTAAAGAACGCCTTCATCATGTGGGATTCAAGGAGCCCCAATGAAAGTTGGCGGACATTTAGGCGGGCTGGATCATCATAGATACTACTTTAGGGCAGGACGGATTAGCAACTAAGGAATGACTGCGATCTTGCCCAAGAGTCACAAGGGCGCGCAGTCCATGTCACAAAACGATGGCATGCATGGGCTTAAGGTCAAGTCGCGTGTTTTCGGAGTCGCTAGTGGCATATATGGTCAGATGGATATCTTTGAAAGTCGTAAATAAAGTCAAGAGGTCCCGGAATCACCTCATGGGGCGTTTTAGAGCGAGTATCATCGCATCTCCATGCCAAAACCCGAGTTATCTATCGAGGCCAACATGGCGGAGAGCTCGGTGACGGCGGCCATTTGCGGGAATTTCACTGGAGCTCTACTGGGTCTCTCTGATGGAACCTAAGTCTTGCCATCTTCAGCACCCATCTTCAAGGTCCATGTGGGAAGAAGTCAGCTTGAGGAAGAAATACCAGTATCAACGTCAAAGGATTGACCTGCCGGACAAGCGCAAAAAATGGAGGCCATCGAAATACATGCTCATGAGCTGGGTTCGTGCTAAACAGAGACTACGGACCCGCAAGACATTTGATGGCAACGAGCTCCCTGACGTTACTGCATGTAGCGGTTGAACCCTCGATCGCAAAGGGTCGGCATGCACACCGATTGCCGCCGACATGGCCCCCAACTGGGAGCTTGCAACCTCTAAGCCGAACGGCTGTATAGAGAATGCAAATTGGTCAAGATGCTGAGAACACAGGTTGCTGGCTGTCTGGTTCAAGGCCTCTCTGGTGGGTTGAGGACCAAAGAGCAGGTGAAGCGGAAACACATTGAGGGTACGCATAAACGCTAAATTTCCTGTGTGTTTAGGAACGAACTTATGGACGTCATGTTTGCAGCTCTTCATGATGGTCATCCCTGCCAAGCTACTTACTAGACTGACTGAGGCAAGCAATTGAATATGAATAGTACATGAAGGAGGATGGGAATGTCTAGTGAAATGTCGTGAAGCCCTGCCGTAAGACTACTACGGACGAAGGTACTGCTACCGTCTGCCTGATCCCTATCTTGGAAATACAGGCTCTTGATGCAGATTATCAAATCTTGTTTTAGGCTTCGATCACGACATCCAGTTTCCCATCATCCAATCCTGTCTCTTTCAGCAAACATATCCTCTTTCCCGCGTCGGCTACTGAGATAAATGACACGCGCATAAAGCATGGCACAGCGGCTTCAACAATTATTCGACAAAACATATGGGACAGAGCACACATCAAAAACCTATGACATGCCTCAACAAACAGGAACTTGGCTGGAGCCAAATCACTGATCCCTCCTGGTCCCTCGCCTTTCCACAAATATGCAAACTAAGCTTGGAATCACCTTCAGCAGGCCTACCTAGGAGTATTTGTATCTCTGCGCCCAAGACAAGCTGTCCGTAGGTAGATAATTGACCGAGCATAGCCCGTCAAGTCACCAATACGACTTTCCGGTAAGGTCCTTTGCTTTTCTAGCTCTTTGTTGAGGCAGGGCCTAGTTACGACGGTCTTCCGCATTCGCAGACCTTCACCCGTAAGCATGGCTACCAAAAGACCAGCCAGGGGGGCCAAGGAACAGCCCAGCCCAAGAAGAGGGTTAAAGGCGCTAAGCTCATAATTGTATAGCCAACAGGATCGGCGTGCCCAGGCGACTCTCCATCTTCAACCCCAGGGGTGCAGTGTGTCCAGTCAAGACTACTAGCAAAACAAGGACTTTGCAACCTTTTCTTGTATTCATCAAGAAGAGAGGGGAGGGCGAATACATAATAATGTGCAGATGTCTTTTGCCGTCTAATATTCAGTCTCTTCACTTCTCCCTCTATTTATTTATCTGTCGCTTCGTCAAACATGCTTACAGGGCTCTAGCCTGGCTAGGTCAGCTGCCGCTATAGTTCTTTGGACATCTGCATGCTTCAGTAGCTTTATCTCTCTGGGACTAAAACAGTCTAATCATCCTTTTAGGTCAAGCCTTGCCTCGTCGAAATAGTCAGAGGCGTCTTCGCGGCCGTACTTCTTCCAATTCCGTCTCAGAGGTTACTTTCAGTAGCCAAAAGCAGGTGCCATGTATTTGAACCAAGTTCGTGATGCCGACGCATGCTTGGAATTCGTCTTGTGCCTTTTGACAGTGTCATCTCAAAAGCTACCCGAGCACTATCTATTACGCATCCTGGGCATCCTGATCTTCGGACGATCTATTAGCTAGTATGGCTGTGGTGATCCCAAGCTGTAAAGGCTGTCACCTGAAGCTAGTGCTCGATCTTATGGGACGCCCTGCCGGATGTCGGCCTGGCTGACCCAAGCCCGCCCATTGCCCGGGTGACATCCAATGGAGATGAACCCTTCAAAGATCCGCCTCCAGCTCTGCACAACGCGGGCTACCCGATTCTACAGTAAACCTATGCCATCGTCGCCGGTTGGTGCGCAGAACCATCAGTTGTTCATTGAGATACAGCATTCGATTAGAAGCTGGGAAATGGTCGCGGCAGGGGACTCCTGCAAAGGTCACATGTGTCGCAGATGGATATATCACAGTTCGCTCAAAGCAAAGCTTCGGGAAGTGACTGACTGATGGACCATGCATTCAACAAACCCGTCTTCGTCTGATAATTGATCCGTTTCCCGGGGGCTGCGTCACCGGCGAGACTTGGACAAAGTATAAGGCAGACAACATTACATCTCCGCCCTCGGACATGTATGTTTCTCGGGAAATCTCGAAGCTGTGTCGTGGCGGTCAGAACAGACAGAAGCTTTCTCTTTGCGCACCCCATCAAACACTTCTGCTGGTCTGTATCCCCAACCAATCAGCCCCTTGCCTCTGGTCGAGCATCCCTGACGTCTCAAGGCTAACGGTGCGGCCGAAATAGGCCTTTGGTCTGGAACATAGCCGCCAGATTACATTCGATGCCTGCCTTCAAACTCAAGCCGCACACTTGAAGCATCATCATCATTGCCATGAACGGGAAATGGCTTTAAGAAAGAGACATGAGAATGAAGGTTGGCGGCGGCGAATAAACTCGCTTATTCAACTTGACGTCGCTTGTCCAATCCATGCACTAGGAATACGAGTTGTCGATGATTTAGTATTCATGTTGAAAGCCTTCATCGCGAGCTCATTTGTGGTGGTTATTCCGATCGTTACCAGCATCATCATTGTCCTAACGACTCTAGATGCTCTATCTATGCCATGTATGCTCATTAGTGTATTAATAACGCTGGCTTCAGAGCGTTCGTCGAGCGCGTCTAGCTCATCTTTATCTTTGATAACCACTGTTTTTCAGATTCGCATCTTGAAGGAGCCCTGACTGGACATGCGAAAGACTCATTGGCAACGAGCCTCTCTCGAAGAAGCCGGCGCAGCCAGCCCTGCTCTTGTTTCAGATCAAGATCGTCGTCCGCAACGTAAACTCATCTAACTCCATGAGCTCGTGTCTTAATGACAATCCATTTAGAGCGGGGTACGTGTTCGTGTTCTCGTCGATGACCAAGTGCATCCTTCCGAGTTTATGCATCCAACATCGACCTTGAACGGCA